ATAATGGTCTAGTGGTGTAGGATATTTTCTTGGCACACTTTGGACCCCTTGGACTCAGCATTGTTTAAATACTACAGCTTGCCTGAGTATTGTTTGTGACCATGTTTGTTCTTTTATGACCCCACAGTGCCCATCTTCTAATGGCTGTTTGCAGCAGGACAACATGTCATGTCACAAAGTTCAAATCATCTGAAATTAGTTTACTGAACATGAAAATGAGTTATCTGTACTCCTTCACAGTCAAAAGATCCCAATCCAGTAGAGCACCTGTTGGAGGGGGTAGAACAAAAGAGTCTCATCTTAGATGAGCAGCTAACAAATCTGCAGCAACTGTGTGATCCTGTCATGTCAGTATGGAGCAAAATCTCAGAAGAATGTTTCCAGCTCCTTTCTGAATATATGCTATGAAGAATTAAGTCAGCTCTGAAGTCACAAGGGGATTCAACCCATTACTAGCCAGATGTAACTGGTAAATTGGCTGGTAAGTGTACAACAAGAGCATCAAGTGATAAACAGTATTTGAGAAACCACTGTGTGGCTGCATTAGGGCATGCTGCTGAAACAGTGATAATGATAGTGCATTCAGAAGTGCTGTTTGTGTTTGCCTCATTAACAGAAGCAGGTATAATTAGCATCTGGTTTCTCAGTTCAGCTCCATCATGTGCACTTTCAACAAAGACAGTGTAAACAGGAAACGGGGAAAAAAAAACCTCATGCACTTTTAAATCTGAGAAAAATACATATTATTTTACATTTAACTTTGCTACTGTCCTTTTTGCCAAATAACCTAATTAGCTGTTCTTCCAGTTGTTTCTTTTTAGTGCGAGTTACTTTCAGTTTTTTGTTGCCGCTGTCCCAGGACTTCTGAGATTAAACTGCTGCCATCAAATTGAGAATGAGCTCATGTTTTCCATGAAATGGTGAAGTGTCCTAGTTTAAACATTTCACATTTTCTGTGTTCGGTTTTGAATAAAATAAAACTTTTGAGATTTCCAAATTCTTACATTCTCATTTTTATTTACATTTTACACAGGTTCCCAATTTTTGGGAAGTAGGTTTGTACAATGACTTTACAGAAAACAGTTTCATTTAAAAAAATTAAAAAATAAAAGCACCATATAACAGAAAAAGAAAAAAACCCAGCTGAAAATGACATTAAGACAATAAAAAGAAAGAAAGAAAATCGACATTAAAGCGCAAAAACAACTGACTTTGCCAGTATGTAAAAAGCCCACAAACAAGCAAACAAAAAAACAACAAAAAACAAACAAACAAACAAACAAAAAACACCCCAAAACTATAATTCCCCTGCAACACCTTCACCTTTACATAAACCGTCCTGCCATCAGCTTTAATTTGCATCATATTTAGGCTTTTAGAAGTTTTACAGTTCTACTGTGAATTGTTTTGGGGTTTGGGGTGTACAGTCGATGTCTGATAATTTATAGGTTTTGGATACATACTTTGATATTGCTTTTGCATTTAAGGCTATATTTAGATATGCAAATAGTTCAGAATATTAAAAACTATGGCTGTCAAGAAAACAGTGGCAGTGTGATAAGATATGGCAACCTACTTTGATGATTTCTCTCTACATGTGGAACATCGCAAAGATTTGAAGCCCTTATCGACACACCATGTGCGACTATCAAGTTGCTCAAAGGTCAAACAGGAAGAAGAGCAACTCACAGGTACGTTGTACCCCAGATGTCAAAGACTTATTGAAGTACTATGACAAAGTGACTGTACAGTTTTTTTAAAAAGAGAAAAAATAGCTTGTAATAATAGTGAATGAATCAAAAAGGTCCGTCACTCCATTGACTGTATGACTAATTTACTCCTAGTATCTCCTAAATACAAGTTATGCACACATGCATTTTCTAACCATAGCCAAGCAATGTATGCATTTTCTTTTAAAATATAGCAAATACAAAAGACACTAAAGACATTATAGAGATGTGAAAGCAATATTTTGTGATTTAACAAAAGCATTAAAAGTTAATCATATTGATGTGGTTTAAACTATAAATTATAATGTAACAAAAACAAAAATGCTTACTCACCCTGAGAGACTTTGCTTTTGCACCTTGTAGCGTTTGTTTCATGACTTTATCCCTTATATGAATTAACTACCAAATAAATAGAGCTTCAGCACACAAAAAAAACACGCAACAAGCTTTTAGTCCAAATTTCCTTCTGAATAATTTCTTTAGACTAACAAACCAGCCGAGGGGAGTATTACCACAATTTCTTCAGAGTTACAATCATGATTTGGTTTAATTTAATTTAAAAGGTTTCCCTTCTCTCATGAGCCATTTGACCTCTATCCACCTGTAAGAGGGGAAAGCATGACGAATATCTGGATTTTTCAATCTCAGAGTTTATGTCCTTCATCAGATGTACAAAGTGTTAGTCATTTCACAGATTAAAAAAAAGAAATAAAATAAAATATATATGGGCATATAAAGGGTTTACCCAGAGCCAGACAACAGGCTAATGAGTTGGCTTGCTCTCTGAAACAGAAGTCAGTGTGTTTCGCAGATGGAGGGCTCAGATGACGATGCTGTTCCCACTGCGAGACGCCTTATCCTGAGAGAGACATACTAACTTTAGATTCACTGCACTAGCAAACAGAGGTTTTATTTATAATAGTGACTGCATGTTTGAGAAATGTGTGATACAAGTGCATTGGTGTACTTGCAAGTTTGCAAACTAAAGCAAAGTATTCCTTACAGAGTAATAATCATTTCTTCGTGCTCCTGGTTTCTGTCCCGGCTCATACTCTGTGTAACTGGGAGGTTTATCGGACCAGCCTCCACCTCCTCTCCTTGCACCTCCCACCGCCCCTCTTCTGCTGCTTCCCTCATCTGAGCTCCAGGACCCTCCCCTCGAGTGTTGTGCTGCTGGGGGAGAGTAATTCCCTCTGGACCTGCTGTCAAACAAGTCATCCCTGGAACGGGATCGAGGGCGGTCCATGCCTTCTCGTGCCCGGCTGCGACCCCGCCCATCCAGTGACTCCTCGCTGTAGCTCCGGGGAATACCTCTAGATCTGGTAGGTGACGGGTAACGTCTGCCCGCTCCCCCTTGCTCGTCGCGACGAGTGTAGCCACTGCGGCTGCTCTCGCTGGAACTCGGTGGCCGGGTCTTGGGCGCAGGAGGTGGAACTCTGCCTAACTGCGACTCTCTTATTGGCGGAAGCGTAATGACACGACGCTCTGCTGGGCCATCGTTGAGGGCAGAGATCATGCTGGGGGGGCCTGGTGAAAATGGGACATTGACAGGCATGTGGTGGGAAGGAGGCGCGTATTGCTGGGCAGGAGGTGCATAGTGCTGGGCGTGAGATGGGGGGGCTGGCTGGGACTGAAAGAAGAGAGAGATAAGAAATAAATAAATATAACTAAAACTTAAAAAAAACAAAAAACAAAACTAAAACTGTGCCCAGGTTCAATGCTACAAATAGAGTATATACTGTTATGGTAATTGCATCATTAAAAAAATAAATTAATTAAAAAAATATATCAGGGACTTATCGTCAATCAGTCAATATGATAAGCCTCAGAAATGAAGTGAACCACTACAGGGAACTTCAGGTTTAGAAAAGCAGAAAATGTTCCACCATTTTAAGAATTTTTGTTTCCTGAGGAAACTAAAATTACGAGGTTGAAGACACCAAGTCAGTTGTGACCTTCTAAAGTGTAATATTTAATTTTCTAACACAATGCTGTGATTAACGTGTTGTGTCAAGTCTGGATGTCTCTAACTATGCATTCTTAACATATAAAGTGAAAGACATGTTTAAAACTAAGCAAAAAGCTCTCTCTTCACTGTGGGTTTGATGAGCCCGTCTGAAACAGTCACACTTTAATTCTCTGATGACATCAGTCAGACATAAGTCATAAAAAGTCGTCGCAACTGACTTGTGTTAGCTCAAAAAAACGATACAGAAAGCAAAAGTATTCAAACAAGTGCAACGCCCATGACGTAGTAGGCCATGAAGCATAGGAGCCATTACAATTCACAGATTGTTGCTGTAAACCAACAAATGTGTTTTTGTTTACATTAAAAGTCGTGGGAACATACCTGTAGAAGAGGACTGGTCATGTCCAACCCCCTCACTTGGTTCTCCAGGTATTCGAGCATGTGATTGTTATTGGCTGGTGTGCGGTTACCTTGGACACTGGGAGGGGGCATGCTGTAAGCTGAAGACTGAGGAGGAGGGAGAGGCATAGTCTTTAAAGGGATGTTGCTCCCTGCAACAGACCCTGAAGACATAAAAGAAAAGAAAAAAAAAGCATTTAGAAAATTTAAGGAAACAGCAAATTAAAACCTATTTAAGTCTGTCACTTTAATATGTGCAGATTAATGTGTGCATGTACCAGCGTAGAGCATTGGGTTCATCTGGCTGGAGGCGTGGCTCAGTGGTGCATATATTGGTTGTCCTCCTAACCAAGGATTCATGGCCTTCTGAGCCTGCTTCACCATACGATGCTGCATCACAGCTAAAACATGAGAACAACAATTTCTAGTATGTACAGATTCAGTGAGGCTATTTCAAAGTATATGGGCTTTTTATTTGCAGCATGATAAGGTCACATGTTTGATTTCACTAAGGCTATTAGCAATAGATACTTTCAAACACAAATGAAGGCCTGCAGAAAGGATCTGTTAATGACCAAACTGAGTGGAGCAATGGAAACAGCAATCAAACATTCACTAGATATACAGGCAATGAAATATTCTCCCTTCCTTCATGCTTGTTTTTTTTCCCTCCTCAACTCCCAAGCTGCCTTATTCCTTGACTTCTGTTGTTGAAGCGCCCTTAAATGAAAGCTTTTACCTTTCTCAGGACAGCAGCACCTCTGTGGGCAGCAGGGACAGCGGACATAGCAGCAGCATATCTGAGGGCAGCACTGGCAGCAGCAGATGCATAAGAGCATGATGAGAAGGAGGGCACCGATGATGATGAGCAACGCAGTCAACCAGTCTGTAGGAAGACGAAGAAAAAGGGAGACGCTCTGTGTTCTGTGTCTTAAGAAGCAGACTAGGTTTTTGCGTATGTTACAGCATTAATAACATTAACAGAAGCTGCAGCGCACACAATTATTTGTGTTTAATCTTATGCATTCATATTTTCTTTCTTACTGTAGACAATGAGTTTGACTTCTTTGGAAGTGATCCCACTGGTGTCTCCAGGAGCATTAACATTGCAGACATACATCCCGTTGTCCCACCACATCACCTCATTGATCACCAGATCTGCCACTGTCCAGACAATGCAAACATACATGATTAAATTCAACTTCCTCTGTTGTGCCCTCATTTCAGAAGCTCAAAGAACTGGACAGCATTCGTCAATTCACTTCCATCTCTACAAATTAAAAGGCCATCGGGATAACATACTATTAATCTTTTATTTCTGCAAAAATGATCACATAATGAAAATGAAGGAAGAACAACCAAAAAAAAAAAAAGTTCTCACAGTTATTTGAACAAAACTACCAATTCATATTGTACCAAGCATCTATTTAAAAGATTTATACAGGTGCTTCAGCTTACAAAAAAAAAAACAAAAACCCAAAACAAAACAAAAAAACCCAAATCACATTTAGGCTCATCTTTGGTGAACTCACGGTTTTGGACGGAAATCTTCCGTTCCTGGTACTCTGTTCCCAGTATAGGCTGGTTGCTTCCTGTTTTCTGGACCACAGTGCGTATTGTCCGGTCACGGTCTGGACAGTCATTTGATGGATCTTGTCCCAACTGTAGTTGAGCCTGGTATGCTGCAAAACCAGATGTAAAAGCTTAATAATGCAAAGACTGACAACTGGCCAAAACATGTTACTGGCTGTTTGGGATAAAACTGGTGGTTCACAAAAGACAAGATCATCAGGTACAACCCACAAATGATCATAGATGAAATTATTATTCTTATTGTTATTGTTCATTGCAGCCTTGGGAATAGCAAAAATGAAATGTGTGCAGTAGGAAGCACCACACCAAGTGAGGTGAGAGTAAAAAAAATAAAATAAAATAAAGAACTGATTGAGAAAAAAAAACAAACAAGAATTAGATCAAATTAATGCAGAGGGCAGAAATGCAAAGAAATGTATATGCATTTAAATCTACATAGATTTCTATCTTTGTCACCATTGCCAAAAGTTTTTTGGCACTTTAATCCCACTCTGTGGCGGCACCCCCCACCCCTCAGGTGACAGTTGCTTTTGTACCTGTGGAGTAATACTGCAGTACAGGGTCCATGCAGAAAGACTTGAAAGTCCATGTGAGAATAACGTTTTGGGGGTTTGCAGAGGTGGAGTAGTCGCAGCGAAGGACCACTTTGGCAAACAAAAGCGTGCTGTACTGCGTGTAGGGAACGATCACCTGAACGCATGCTGACACTGCAGAAAGACAACAAACAGAGAGTTAACCACATATAGTACTATACAATGATCCATTAGGTTACATTATTTATCAGCAAAAGTCCATGAGGAAGAATAGTGGAAAGGAGACAACGAGTGAGCGCTACTATGAGCCAAGGAGTTAATGTCAAAGTAGCAGGACCAGAAAAACAGGTGGCACAGACAAAGACACAGGAAGTGGCCTACTGTGAAACTACCAAACACACACTGAAAAGGTGGAATGAAACCCGATGAGTTCATCTAAGTGTGGGCATAGCGCAGTGACTCTTTCCAGAGTGGAAATAAAGAAAATCGTTGGTTTAACTTTAAAGAGTGACTCAATGGTCAGGGTCCCAAGTATCTCTAAAGTGACCCAAATATTAATAATCTCCGACAGACAAATGTTTAAATCGGTTATAAAGACGAGTAACACATAATTTGCTTAACCAACTATGAAACAAGACGGTCATGTTTGATTGCTTCATGTAAACACCTGTGTCATGTGACCGATACTTAAACTTATGTTCATTTTTGTAAGTGGTTTTTTTTTAACATTTACTTGATAAACTGGTTTAGTACACTTGTTTTTACACAGACATGAAGCTAACATGTAAAAAAAAAAAATTACCTTTCAGAAGCGACAGCAGTACGACAGCGACAGGAAGTCTCTCCATGATTACCAAAGGGTACAAACCCCCTCACCCCAAAAAAACCTTCGGCTCCAAATACAAACAGAGAGGCAACACTCCCAAGTTAAAAAAAATAAAAAATAACCACAAAAAACTCCACAAAACACGAGTTTCTATCTTCACTTTGGCCTAACCAAAACTGCTCATTGTTTCCGCCTACGAGTGCCACTGAAGAGTAGCCAATGTTTGTAGCTGATCCCTGAGACTGAGCTCATCTGTGGCTCCACCCCGAAACAGGTGAGCTTTCCTGTGGCGTAGGCGGGTGTAAAGCAGGAAAATGCCACGATTATTTGCAAGCGCATAAACAGATACTACCTGTAACATCTCACTGGTCTTATCTGATTTTCTCTGGCTGTAGGAGTATTTTGTTTGTATGACACTGTGACAAATGTGTTCTGAACTCTAGATTCAATCTTTTGACTGGGCTGGAGAGAAACCATCACTGGATTAGGAAAAAATATGTTCAGCTTATTCCTATTAAGCAAATATTTGCTCTTCCAGGTGTTAGGAAATGTTTTTCGAAATCCCTTCAAAACAGCTGTGTGACTCATGAATGAATAATACAGGAGAGGGAAAAACTGAAGCTGGGCTTTGCTCTTCATGCCTTTGTTTCCTAGACTAATCAAAGTCTTTTCTAAGTCTTTCATAAAAACCTCAGCAATAATAATCTGTGTTTTAGTGAAAACAAATTCCACTCATATAACCACACACAGATCCAACCTCTTTGGTATGTTCATATTCAAGTGTACTTACCAACTGCGCTTGTGTAAAACTATTGTAGCTTAACTGTTCTGAATGATCAGCATCATCATTTCTTCTATTCCAACTTCCAAGTGGAAACAGCTCTAATTAACCAAGTAAGTGAAACTGGAACAATTCACTGGGTTCATGAGTTGTGCACTGACATGTTTATTAGTAGGCGTCAGGGATTAAACAAGTGTCATTATTTCCAAGTTACAAGTTAACTAATGATTTGCACTGGCTCCCTGTCAAATACCATATTGAATTTAAAATATTGCTGCTTACCTTTAAAATCATAAACAATATAGCGCCTAGCTATCTCATTAAACTCCGTAGACCATACACCCCTGGGAGAGCCCTCAGATCATCAGCCCAATTACTCTTGGTACAGCCTAGATCTCGGCTTAAGACCAGAGGTGACCGTGCATTTGCCCTGGTTGCTCCTCCTAACAACCTTCCCATTGCTATTTGTGCGTCCGACTCCATCCAAACATTTAAATCATGACTAAAAACTCACTTGCTTTTCCAGTTAGTTAATACTCCTATACCATCTTCATTTTACGTGCTTACCATTATATATATCTCTTCACTTGATGTCCATGTGTTTCTATTGATTGTGATTTGATATTTACTCTTTATTTAACTGTTATTCTTGCCCAATTAGTGTCATTGACCCGCTAGCATAGCGGGTTATTCATAATTATTCATGTTTTAATCTGCTGTACTATTGTGAAGCACTTTGGTGTACCCTTGGTCTTTAAGTGTGCTAAATAAATAAAGTTGTCGTTGTTAATTTATTGGATTAAGATCACATAAGAAGCTAAATGACTGTCGTACTGACCAATTAACTCATTATGTGTGTACTACAAGTGTTTGTTGTGCATTTGTAGTTAGATGGAAAGTTGCTCAGTTCTGGCACATGCCTGCTAGTTTTATGCGCTCCCTTATTACTTTAATCCTGACAGTACATAAATATACAGTAAACGCAAAGCAGCTGCTGATTGCAGTTCATGTTCATCAGTGTTTGCTGAATTCATTTCTGAAGTTGAGTAAGCGAATTAAATTTTAAAGCCGTAAGCACTTATATATACACACATTACAGTACTTATTTCATCTTCAGTTAATTCATTTAAATCATAAACACACAAATGAACTTTAGATAAAAATAGTAATAACAATATTTAAACAGATCCAGTGTACAAATAATTTCATAAGACAGTTTGTTCACATTTCTTTATTTGTGGGTTTTTTGCTTTTCTGTCTTCCCTGATCGTTGTTACGCCTTTGTGAGTGAGGCTGATATTGTTGCACTATGTCCGTCTGGTCCTCGAAGAACTGCTTGACCTAAGGAAAAGACAGTAGGGAGGTGTGTGTTACAATCTTCATTTTAATGTTTCACTGTCAGCTGCTCACCGTCTCTGCTCTGTGAAGGTACACACCTGCTCCAGCTGTTTCTCAGTGTCATTCACATCCACACCTTCCTCTCCTCCTCCCTGGCCACCAGTCATTTCATACAGATTTAAAATTGACATCTTAATCTGTCCCAGCTTCAGTGTTTTCCTGGCAGCCGTTTCCTGTATGTTATTCCATTTCTTCTCCTGCATGAACACAGGACAACCAGAGTTCATTCAGAAGACGCCAACATCTAAGACTGTCTTAGCACTGAAGCTGGGATTTTGATCCAGGATTATGTGTCATACCCATATTAGACCTTCAGAGTGAGTTTTCTCCAGCTTTGTCTGGAGCTGAGACAGCTGGTTGTTCCTCTGCAGCAACAGCAGGTTGTGCTGTTGCTCCAGTGTCAGCAGTGCTTTTCTCTGCTCGTCAGCCTGCTCCTGTGCCTTACTCTCCCTCTCAGAGAGCTGGCATCTGAAGTGGAGGAGACTCTCTAAATGATCCGTGAGCGCCGCCACATCTTTAAACTGCAACACAATTTCACTCTCATTAAGGATGTAGCCCGAAAAGCAAATTACTATCTATTTCAAACATGCCAGAGTTTGCCTGCGATCTGAAACAAATCCACTGCTATCATCAGCAATCGTTACCCCAAATCCCAAAAAAGATGGGACGCTCTGTAAAATGCAAATACAAACTGAATGCAGTGATTTGCAAATCCCATAAATCCATATCCATATCCATCACATTCAAATTGAGCTGATATTTTTTATGAGACAGTCAAATATCTCACTTTAACCATATATGTTAAAAACAGGCATTAAAGCATCAGATGATGTACTGAATTGAGAATAATATTTGTCACAGTTATTGTAATACTTGTATTCAAAAGCTACAGTACCTTAGTTATTTTGAGCAGCTGCTCCATGAGATCTCTGTACACAGAGTGTCTCTTCAGCTGATGCTCGAGCTCCTGTTTCTCCTCAGTCAGTTTGGCAAACTGCTCCTTCAGCCTCTCTATCTCTGCCTCTTTTTGAAGCACCCTTTGTCTCTCCTGCTCTGCTTTCTCGATTGCTCGATTAGCTTCTTCATCCTAGAAGCAGATTGAGGGCCTTACTTTTTTGTTCCTCCCATAACATTTATAGCATGTAACGCGATCTCCTGTCGTACCTTGTGATACATGTCAAAGCTTAAATGCAGGTCCTGTATTTCCTTTATCTTCTTGTGCAACTCCTCTTCACGCTGTTGCAAACTCTCCAACACCTACATAAACCCACATAATAGGGTTAAAAATAAATAAATTATGCCAAAATTTGTATGAGACTTTTGCTACAAGAAGACAAGCATGTCGCAGTTCTGGGCTGTAATGAAAGTACAGTTTAGAGATACTTATATTTTACTTGCAATTCTGAATTCTTATGCTGTCCTACTCTTCTTCTTCCCTCTGAAATTATGAGCATGGGTAGCAAAATTAAGATATTTGTATACAAAACATATCAAGTGCTTATAAAACTAGTTGCTGTACATTAAGTTGCACTGTTTAAAACAATTAAGAGAAACATTTGATCATTACAGTAAAACACAAACTTAACGATCTCCATCTGTCCAGTTAGGAAGCATAAACCAATGTGAATCAATTTCACCTGCTTTAGCCTAAATGAAAGTGACAACAGGTACACTGGAGAGGCACAAATAAGACATGTCTCCAAAAAGGGAATGGTTTTGCAGGTGGTGACCACAGACCTCTGTTCTTGTCAGGAAACACCAAAACTGGTACTGATTCACACTTAACACACGTTAAAGAGTCTGGAGACACTATGGCAAATGTTATGCTGCCTGCAACATCAACCAGCATGACTGGTTTGGCAGTGGGTGCATGATAGTGTGAAGATGCCTTCATATTCTTTGTGAATTTCAATCCAGTTGGTCCCCCTAAACGAGGTGGGTCCCTCATGCCTCCCTCATGGAGTCTGATTCTGATAGTTTGTTCAGAAACATGCACGAGTAGCGTACTGGAGGTCAAGTGCAGATGCTGGTGCCCAGCTGGGTTGATGCCCTTCTACA